CAAATGCTTTGAAGTGTTTGATAGGCCAATTGGAAGAAAGAATTTTACAAATTGACCAATTAAAAAACGCTTCAAAACGTTTGCAACATCGCGTTGACGATTGCTATTTAAGACAAATCCGTTAAATAAGAGTTCTATTGTATTAAACAATTTCAGGATCGGATAAAAATTCTTTTTTAATCTTTATGTTCGAGGTTGAAACACAGACAAAAAAGCGAGATAAAATATCTAATATTATTATAGTGATATGATACTATAAGTATTATTTGTTAGAGATTCTAAACAAGTCTCGATTAGAAATCTTAAAATTCCATGACAATATAGTAACGATGCACGTGTTCATTACGTGTATATCATCTGGAAACGCAATGTCACCGATGACTCCAGGATCTTGAGAATCTATTTATTATAGCGAAATGTTGCATATAGAGACTACTTCAAAGAAATATAATGCACGAGACATGCAGCGATAAGCGGAAATATAAAATGCAGGCGATCGCCGCAGTCACGTGTTAAGTAACTCAGGCATGCGACAAAAGTTGTCTGGTTGCAACTTGTTCGACTAGTTCGTCGACTGGTGGATCGCGTCGCCTGAATTTTGCGCCGTAGGTAATGTGTGAATAAATCATCGACTCTTTCGGATCGTCGTAGTTTCTTATCGTATGATAATGCGTATGATAATGAGTGCGTAGTGAGGAAAAAAATCGATACGTATCCGTTGATATGAGTCAACAGGATGTAGCTACATGATGTGACAAGTAAATTCCACCTCTTTTCTCTTCCTTCATGATCATTGACCTCGCTGATCAAGGACGATTGAATCGCGTTTCAGTCAAGCGAGCTAAGGAGTCTTTTATCGCTTTCTTTATTTTACTTTGTTGCAATTTTGAGGAAGAGAGCGGTCGGGAACGAATTCTTGAACATACAGTATTTTTTGTGTTTATCGACAGATTCGACAACAACGTTTTTGTGTTACGTGTAATTCGTATTAAAATTTTCTTATTAATGAAAATATTGATATATATATAATGTGTAACAAGAATTACGTTACATGATTCTAATCGGAATTAGATAAGACTACTAAGACTACTAATATTGCATCGATTAATTTTCCATATTTCAAACAAGAAATGCTTCAAGAATTTGTATTTCTGCAAATATTTTTACATTAGCATTATATAATACTAATATATAGAATTACATTTAATTACGATTAATAATAAATATTAATGTAATTGCCACGTTCGATACTTTATTCATATTATTAGGTGTACAACTTTGCTTCCGCCGTTTTTTTTCCGAAATTCGAGGCTTTATTGTAAAAAACTGGTTATACATTTATGATTCAAAGTATTGTCCATCGCTGGCCACTACTTTCTCCCATCTTTCGGGTAGCGTACGAATCCCGCGTCGAAAAAACTGGTCATCTTTTGAGGCTATCTACGAATCGATCCAAATTTTTACTTCTTCATAAGACCGGAAGTGCTGGTCAGCCAGGTCGTGTGCCATTGATCGAAACAAGTGATAGTCAGAGGGAGCAACGTTTAGAGAATACGGCGGGTGGGGTAGGACTTCCCATTTCAATGTTTCCAAGTATGTCTTGACCAGTTTCGCAACATGGGGTCGAGCATTGTCATGCTGCAAAATCACTTTATCGTGTCTCTC